CTTGAAGTTAAGTCATTAATTCTCTTTGACTCTCAAGTGTTCAATATCTAATGACCTGGAACAGAGGAGCAGGAAATAAAGCCTCTTTTATGTCAGACAAGTGCTTTTTTCCCCCCACTTTATCTTTTCGTTAATGACAGCAGTGTGCAGCGCAGGCCTGGTGGCTCTGTGGATTCACAGCTCAGTGGTCTTCATTAAGATGATGACTAAGAAATTATTGCCAATCTGCCCCGCGGCCACCAATGTTCCCACGATCTGCTGGCACTCGAACACACTGGAGCATACACTTTTCCTACACACAGATTTACTCAAACACACACAAACCCCTCGGGGGGTTATGTCACTCGTCAGTGCAGTTCTGAAAGGTCTGGAAACTGAATTTAAGCTACTTATTGTAAGGAGCGAGAGAGAGAGAGGGACATAAAGAGAGACTGAACTTCTTATCGGGCCTTTAAAAGAAGAGAAGATGTGCACTTTATTTTAGGAAAATGTTCTTTCCTCAGAGGCAGCTATTAGGCTTCTTATCTATCCACTTCTTATTCTATTCTCTCTCTGGAGGCAGCTGATATCCAGCAGCAACTTTTTTGGGCAACTGTTAAAGGCAATACTTTCACAGTTGTTTCATCTGCGCTGCAGCTTCGATCAAGTGTTCCTCCACCGCTGCCAGAAAACACAACAATTCCCCGATGAGCGGATTTGTTTTGAGCATAATTTCTTGTGTAGATTACACGACCGAACAGCTCACCGCCACATTTCCCTTAAAGACACTTTTATATCTACTGCTGCTGAAACTGGAACTGAACAGGCGTTCTTACAGATTATAGTTTCACAGTTTATGTTTTTATGACAAGTTTAGCTCACTGACAAAATACTGTCATTAAAAACTAAACACGGCGCTGATGAAAGAAAAGTAACGAGCAACATCGACCCAAAAATGGTCTTTGAGCCAAAATACAAATGAAAACGTTTGTTAGTTTCTTACAAAAAGTTACGTATTGAGTAAAAGTGTCCCACAGCTTTAGACTTGAGACTTGGACTTGAGTCACAATTATGTCTGAATCGTGACCTGTTTTGAAAGACTTTAGACTTGAATTGAACTTGGATTTTCACCTCCAGACTTGGTCTGACTCAACACTCAAGTAGGATTTGTCTCGTCATGATTCAGGGTTGACTTGAGACCTGCTTTAACTTATCTTGGACTTAAATGATTTGAGCTTGACTTGGATTCGTCTTGAATGACTTTGGATTGACCTGCTATGACAGACTTGAGGTTTGAGTTAGACTTATCTTAAATAACTTGACTTGGACTTGAATTTCCTGAGACTTGATTTGATTCTAGCATGTTTGAAATGACTTGAGACTTAATTTAGACTAGTCTTGAAAAATGTAAGAGGTTTTGAAGATTGAGATTTTGAATTTGAATTTGTCACTTGTGGAACAGAATGTGGAACTTCCTGGTTACCTTTTACAGACACAAAACCAGTATTTTTTTAAACTGTGTATAATTTGGATGAAAATGTGTAACAGCAGGAGAGGGGCAGGGCAGTCGAGGTCTTGTCGGATGTAAAAATATTATTTTAAAACTCTGGTGCACTCAATTATCTCTACATGGGTGACTGGGGAAAACAATCTGTTGTATTACACACACACACACACACACACACACACAGAGAGAAGGAGTTCCTCTGGGCTATTTATAGACGCTGCCCTGATTTCACCACCGACTATAAATATACTCACCTACACAGATTTTATTCATATCTGCACGTGTGTTTATGAAGCTGCCTGTAAGTAAGTCAGTAGCATGTAGTAGTGAGGAGGTCAGAGGTCACAGCTGGACTGAGAAGTTCATCACAAAGGAAGAGAAAATAAAAGGCAGAGGGGATGTTTTTCTTGCAACGGAAGATTTTTGAGCTCAAACAGGAAGGAATTATGACCACACACACACACACACACACACACGCACATTCACACGCACACATACACACAATATTTTAGTTAATTTATTATTCATATGGCATTTACAATATTAATCGGAGGATGTGTGCTCATTCTAGTTTAATTGGCACAATTAAATTGTGTGTGGGTGAGTGTGTGTGTGTGTGTGTGCGTGTGTGTGTGTGTGTGCGCATATGTGCCTATTACCAATTAATTCCTCTGATGAATGTTTCCCAGATTGCCTGCTTTCAGTCACATCTCCCCGCCGGCAGCAGCAGTTTGTCGGAGCTTTGATGTGCAGGAAACAGACGCTGCTGCTCACTTTCTACTCTTTGTATTCAGGCGATTTGTCACTTATCTCTGTAAACCAACGCCCGGTCTGTCAGAGCAGCCAACACATTGGTGTAATTTAGGAAAAGTTATTTCATTTTGGAAGAATATGTAGCCTCACTTTCAGGTGGAAAGTTGATTTTTTTCAATGTTTAAACAACTGAATTATAAAGAGACTGTCAATCAATCAAACTTTGTTTGAATAACACCTTTCATACAGGTCACAGTGCAGTTGGAAGTGCTTTCCAGGGTGGACGGTGAAAACAACAGAAAAGACAAAAGCAATTCAGCAAGTTAACAATTCAACAATTTGAGACGACCAACGAGAGACAATAAAATAATAAAAATGTAAATTATACAATTTAAATACAATAAAATAAGTGAAAAATAAAATAACAATAAAATAGAATATAATTTACATAAATAAAACAAAACGTATATAAGAATGTAAAAAAACCTATAATAATAATGAATAAATGAAATAAAATAATATTACAAGATGCCTATAATGTCTAAAAATATATAATGTAAAAAAGTGGTGTGATATCCAGACATGAATTGTCTAAAATACATCTATAAGGGGACTCAGTTGGTCCCGTGTCATCAGGAGACACGGCCACGTTAAGTTGTGTGTCATCTGCATGAAGAGATGTCGTGTCTCCCGATGACATCACAGAGGTGTAACATATAGATCAGAAAGAAGTGGCCCAAAATCGTTCCTTGGAGAACTCCATGTTATTTTGGAGGTTTTGGAGAAGTTATCGACTGAAACAAGGAACTCTCTGCCAGAGAGGTAAAAGGAAAACCAGTTCCAGACGGATTATCATCACCAGAAAGAATGACGTGATGAAGTATTATCAGTAGATGTACTTTAAGTATCAGAGAAGTTATGATTCAAACCCCCCCTGGCAAAAAACGTTGAAGGACCATTCCATATAACTAGCAATATAAAATATATGAAAAATATATTTTAATCCTAAAGTCTGATTTCATCTGATGAATCTGAAGCTAATCTGCTTCTCTCCCTCCCTCTCTTTCTCTTTCTCTCTCTCTCTCTCTCTCTCTCTTTCTCCAGGTGAACCATTTATAAATCCCATTATCACCACTCCACCCTGTGCTGGCACTCACTCACGCACACGTGCACACACACACACACACACA